AAGTCACAAAGGACATGCCATCGGCAAAAGCGATCCTTGCCGAACTGATGGACGACTCTAAGACCACCCCGCCCAGCATGCACGACAAGATTCTCTCACTAGCCTTCAGCTCTCCTACCGTGATAGTTCAAGACATGCGCAATGAGCGGCTCGATTCGCCCGTCTTAGCGCGCATGGGTTCTCATCTTTCCAAGATGTGCGACAAGATGGGCCCCGAACTCGAGCGCTCTCTCGTGTATGGCGAAGAGGCTGGAAAAATCCCGGAGCATGTGCTAGCAGATATTAGACCTGGGAACCGGAAAGTTCTGGCGGAAGATTCGCAAGGTGGAGAGTTCTTGCGCAGCAAGAAGATGCTGGAGTTGAGAGAGGCGAGCCCGCAGATGTACGAGGCTTTGGTGGCTGCGACGGCGGGGATGGAGGTCGGGAGTTGCGCGAACTGTGAGCATTGTAGGAGGGGAGTGAAGATTGAGAATTCGGATGAGTAAGTGTCTTGACAAAGAGTTCGTGGAGATCATGGTAATGCTGACATTAAGTAGTCTGCTTGGGCAATTGATCAAGAAGGTCACGAGCGACTAGAGGTTGCAGTCTGTCCGTGGGCTAGAAAGATGCTCTGATTTACTTGGCTTGCAACGAAGACCTGTGGTGGACATGTGTTTTTCGCGAGATCTAATCTTCAGATGTGCCGAGTCAAGGCCTATGATCTGTCCACTCGACTGAGGTAAAAGGTTCAGATGCACATCATACGGAAGATAACTCATCTACGGCTATGGTGAGCTAATTGGAGGCCGGCGTCTGCTCGGGGGCTCGTAGCGGACGAGAGCTGCCGTGAAGTGCATACTTGAGAGAAATAAAATGCGCACATACCTTACAGCGGCTCGATGTTGTAGACAAATACTCTCGAGTAGAGTGTTCGCAAAATTGAGCAGCACGCACTTGACTTGTAATGGTTAGAATTACGATCACCAAGTCTACATGCCACCTACGATTATCTTTCAAGGTTTTCATGACGCGTTCGTGCTGTCGAGGCAGTGAATGTGCTTGACGACATTGGAGATGGGCATCGGCGAAGGACATTCAAAGCATCTCCTCCTTCCATCTCCATACCTCGTTCTGGCCGCAGAAACCGTCTTCTGTCGCGTTACTTCATATGTCAAACTCCTGCGGCATTGGGAGGCCAATACCCTAGGCTTTTGAGACGGGTCATTGGCTACGAGTGTCCTGAACTTGTGATTCAAACGTCTCGAGTTTACTCTCACACTATCTTGTCACGAAGAGACCAATTATCATTCGACGAGAGGTATGCCGTGGAAGGTGAGGAGGTGGCCCGAGCCGAGGGTAGCCTCGGTAGCGATAAGACCTCACCTACCGTGCTATAGGTCTGTGCCATAATTCTGAAACTCACCCTTTGTACTCTAGTACTCCGTATGATACCTACGAATACGATGCTGGACCCAACTAGAGTATAACCCGAACTTCGACCGCCATAGAGACCAGTATCGATGTTCATTGGTACATCACATCGCTAGCCCCCCGTTATGTGAAACCGGAGTCGCACATCTAACGTACCCTGAAACGCCATGCGCCATGCGGCAAAGCATCTCGCCGCCAAAGCCTGAAAGGGTGTGCATCCATCACTATCTAAGCTAGACTTCTTCTACCACGTCTGATTCGGCGAGTAGGCGTTGCAGCTGAGGCAGCTTCCGCATACACCTCGTACTCTTCACGCTACAGCAAGTACTCTGAGTTCACGGCCTGGACCAAACTTTGTTCTTTCGAGATATCACGATCTCTCTTAGTCACAGGCTGTGTGGCTCTACTTTCCTTATCCTCAGGCACGATTACCTCTTCGCAAAATCTGCCTTTTCGCATCCTCCTCCGGCGCACGAGTGAGGCAAAGGAGGAATGGCCATAATACCGGCCATACAACGGGCAACCCCGAACAACCCCGAACTTGGCGCAGGAACAAAACTATACATATGTATCACATTTGTCTCTCGGCAGGGTTTCCCATGTTTTCAGTGGCCATTGGATGCACGACCTTGAGCCAAGCGTCCGGAGAAAGTTTTATCGTTGGGATGAGGGCATTTGGCAGTCCAAAAAAGATTCTAGATGTCTGATGTGGCATACTAACGCCCCGGCATCTCGAAACTTGTCCAATGTGGCACGTGTTCTGCGACGCCCCGAATATTCTTCAAGCGTCTGGCCCTGGGATTCAAGACCGAAGCAGAGCGTGTGCGTCGTATTCTGGCTTCGACCTGCAGCCAAAAAGGAATGGCCGCCCCCTAGCTAATCTCTAGAATCTTTTCGAGGCCGTGGTGGGGTGACAGTAACTGGAGAGATGCGTGACAGGGCGAACAGGAACGCCGCATCTGCTAATGGTCGAGACTTGAGAACCTTTGAATAAAAATCGAGAGTGTCCTCCTTTAAACCTAGGTTAGAACAAACCGCAGGCACTCTTTACACGGTCGATCTTTTTGGATCTCAGACGTTGAACGTCTAATCCCTTCCTTCATCAGCACCAGCACTCTTTAGACTCTTTGCTGCCTATCAGACGTTGAACGTTCAAGACTCTGCTTTTTCATACTTAACGTACACCTTCCCATTGCGAATATTACAATTCAAACCCTACAACCCGTTGCCAACCATGCGTTCTTTCGGATCTGCCACCACCGCTTTGGTGACCATAGGCTTCTTCGCCCTCACCACATTCTCAGCTCCATCGCCGTGGAACCCGAACAACTGGTCACCAAAGCCGAAGCCAGCGCCATCACCATCGCCAGTAGCCCCAGCACCCCCCGCTACCACCACCACGACGAGCTCCTCTGGCGGCACAGGAGGCACCAGCGGATCCTCTGGCTCGGGCTCGGACTCCTCTAGCGCCGGCTCTGGTACCCCAGGATATGCAACCATCTTCAACAAATGCACCTTCCCCACCTACGTTTTTGTCTGCAAACAGCATCCAGCAACCTGCGGCTCCACAGTCACTATTGCCGCCAACACAGGGACTTACTCTGAGGCTTATGCCCCGTCGAGCGATGGGGGTCATTCGCTGAAAATCTCCGTAACGAGCGGTTCGGGGAATATTCTGCAATTTGAGTATACGAATGGGGGAAATGGGGACATCAGCTATGATCTCAGCGAGGTCAACGGGAATCCGTTCGGGACCTGGGGTTTTAGTCTTACGAATACGACGACGGACTCTTTTTGCGGTCCGCCGGCTACGGATTGCCCGGCCATCTTCACGGATCCAACGAATGGCATTCCGTATACTGCAACTACTTCCGATGGGGTTGGTGCGAGACTTTGCGGGTAGGAGCTGAGAAGTCAGGGGACCTGGGGGTGGTTGGAAAAGTGGTGCTTGTTGCGTTGGTCGCACTTTGGGATATTTCGTCGCTTCGGGACTTTCTCTATCTCTCGCACGCAGGCCGCGCGACTGCCATCGCTCATTACTCGTCGCTGGATCTAGACCCGAGGTTCGGATCATGCTCAGTCTAAGGCCTGACTATCTCTCAGCCAAACCTTATATGTACATACTTGACAACAGGAGTTTCGCTGGGCTCTCTTCGACAGTTAGTGGATCTTACAAGATCGAAGGATTCCCGAAGGATACTCGGTAATAGATGACCGGCAAACTTTTTAACCTCATCCTGTTTAGACAACTACATCTTATTTAGATACGCATACATCGTCTTCGACTCTTTGTCCCTTCAGTCGAACCCGGTTATATTCACATTGCAATTGATTTGTGGGCCTATAGAGCGCCGGTCGTGTTCACTGTCGTTCGTGCGGTCTCGGCTAGGACAAACGTGGTATGACTGCTACTCGCTGAGAAGGGGGTGACGCTCTACTATCATTCTTGTGTCTGGATTCTATTCTTTTCTTCTTCTGTTGCCTTGTGCAATCCGTCACCTCTGTGCCACTTTCTTCTTCAAGAATCATCGCTCTCTCCATCTCTCCATCCCTCTGCGCTGTCTGTCACTATAGACAGGAAGAAGATAATCCTTGACCGCAGCAGCAGCAGCAGGGCCAGCGGCATGAACGCAGGCTTCCGGAGAATGTGGGAGGATTCTATTTTGCTTCCAGAGGCGTCGAATCCATCTGTCGAACATACGTCGACTTCCATTAGTCCGCCATTCACCACTCCAGTTATCACCCACGGCAGTAATCGGTTGCGCTCTATGTATGGAGCATGAGTAGGGCGAGGGATGCGCTGCCAGGCTGACTGAGTAGCGAAGCACAAGTTGATGGAGGACTGTCTCTGCTATCCGGACGATGAAGGATAGGATGGACGGAACCGACGTCGATAAGCAATGCCCGATCTTGATGAACTTCGGAGACAAGGTCGGTATCTGGAAGTCGCAGATTTGCGACGATCGGAATCGTTCCTGAAGATTTTCCCTCAGTGTGGAATTTGATCGGACTGACGCATTGCGCAGCATTCATTCCATACTCACTCTTGTGATTGTGACCAACTTGATCGCATGGAAAGGGTTGCCAGGTTAATGTCCAGGACTTCGGGTCCTTCTCAAGCCCTACTAAGATGCGAGTGCAGCAACACTAAGGAATCCGGCGTGGCGTCGCAAGATGTTGACGACCATCGGAAACTTCCCAAACTCGACTGCGAATGAAACAGGCTCGAACGAATGTTTTTCAAATGGGTCACTTGCTGTCTTCAATATTGCTGTAGTGTCCCTCTTGTGGGCTGTGCTTCCCTGCAAAATCTATCTTTGGGCGAACCTAATTCCTGCGGGCTGTGCTTCCTTCCTCCAGGAATCCGGAGCCTCCAACGCGCCATGTGTTACGCATTCCACTAGATACGTCAGCCGCAGCTGAAGGATTCATTCCCTGGTGGTGTTCTGCTATAAGAACCGAGCCTTTTTTTTCGCACGACCCTTTCATCATTGATGAAACTTTCAAGACATTTGGTTGAAACGCAAGGTTCCCTTCCCATACTCGATTTTTAGTCCTGCAAATTAATCCAACACCACCCATTATCAGCCATGGTGATCAAAAAGCGCTGTCTCCTCTGGGACTGGACCAACAGCTCCGGTCCCGGCAACCCGGGCGTGCCATGGGCCATGAACCAATGTGACTTCCACGGCCCCATCTCCTCCGTGAGCAACTGGAACACCTGGACGCCGCCCGAACTGCACAACCGCGCCCCTTACCGCCCCATGGTGCACCTCGAAGCGCAACTCTCCGGCGGCGACTGGCAGAACATACTCAACAGCCACGAACCCATCGTCCACTTCTTCAACGAGCCCGACAAGAACAACATCCCCCCGCAGCGCGCGGCGCAGGCCTGGCACAGCCAGATGGTGCCCCTGCGACGGCACGGGGGCAAGAAACTCGTCGGACCCTCCGTCTCCAACGACGAGAACGGCCAGCGCTGGCTCGAAGACTTCATGCGCCTCACCGCCTCCGACCCTCCCGACTACGTCGGCCTCCACTACTACGGCGCCGACGGCGACGCTTGCATTCGCTACCTCGAGGGCATGCACGCCCGCTACCGTCGCCCGATCATCGTGTCCGAGATTGCGTCCGTCGCCCGGGATACCGCCAGCGTGTACGGCTTCACGATCCGACTGGCCAACTTTATGGACGAGACGGAGTGGATCTTCGAGTATGGGTTCTTTGGCTGCATGCGGAAGCTGGCGGATGGCTTCGTCAGTCCGGCGGCGCGGCTGATGGAGCCGGATGGGCGGTTTACGGATTTGATGATGAAGTTGCAGTGGGATCAGCCTGTTAAGCCGGTGCATTGATTCGGGATGTCGTTCGAGTGAAGTCTTATATTTCAGCATTTTGGGGAGGGGCGAGCCGCATCTACTTTGGGCTGCAAATGGATTGTCCTTGTGGTGGTGCTGTTGTTATCGGCGTGACCACATTTCCAGGCGTTTTGACATCCAGTATAAGTCTGCATTCTTGTCCCTTGTGGAGATTGACTCGTTCAAGATATAGCATATAGTGAGACCGACGGCATCGCGTAGCTCTTGCTGTTGGCGGACAATAATTCGGCCATGGAAACGTCAACTTTATCTTAGTTCAACCACTTACTGCGTAAATCGTGGAGACGCCGGATATGCCGAATCAGAGACTCACCGTCACGGTACCCTGACCTCACCCTTGTACATAATGAGTTGATGCTTTGCAACAAGAAACAAAATAAATCTTAGAAAAAATAAACATCATCAGTGGAGCTATCTGTCTAACGGTACAACGGGCGCCAGTGGTGTCGCCAATGAAAGCTTCTATTGCTTCCTTTACTTGTGCCCACTTCAACTCGAGCACCGGTACCATTACGTACCAACCTGAACAGACTCCTCCCTAAGGATGGTATCGACGTGGCTACCCTATGTTCCTATCCTAGGGTCTTGGCGGCATCATCGCTCTATACACTGGCGCCGCTGCCACGCTAGGTATGTCGCAATTCTCTTTTTCACATAAGGTCGTCGAACGAATGGAATCAGACTGCCAAGCTTTCAGGCCAGCCTCTTCTCTTCGGCGCAAACACTGGCAACCCCGGCGCCTTCACCAGCGAATTCTCACTCTCCCAATCGGGCGGCAGTGGCTCCTGCGGCGGAACCACGGTCAACGGCGTCGTATGCGCAACTGAAGAATCCGTTGATGGCAACTTCATTTTTGATTTCAGCGCCATCCTCAACATCGGCGCCTCAACCCTTAGCACTTTGGAAAATTCCTCCGGACAATTCGGATGCCCAGTCCCAAGCGAAAATCCGGCTGTTGAAGCCGATGCGCCGACCTATGAATACCCTGGGTATCCGAAGACGCAGCCGTGCAAGTTGAACCCGCAGCAGAACGGTCTCGCTCAGTGCGCGCCAGAGACGAACACCTATGGTAGGTTCAATACGGAAATGGTTCTGTTTTGCTTGAATAGTCCCACGGTTGAGGCGCCCGCTGGTAATCCGTACCCGGTGGCTTTTGAGTGAAATGACTTGCATCACATCTTGGAGATGAGAGCTTGGAGCTTGAGACACGGATTGTCAGTATGTACTAGTACATCCTTGTCGACCTGAGTAGCTTTGTACATAGAGAGCCGTCGCAGGATCGTGAACACGGATACCGCAGCAAGAGCTTCGTACAAGAGGTGGCCGATTGACGGATACGAGTTTCGTAATTGACGAAACCTACTTTAAGATCTCCAAATAATGGCCTGTAGGCTGTGGAAGAAAGTTGATTCTTTTCGGCTTTCCCGTGCGTTTCCTCATGCCTGCGTTACGAGCCTCGGATGACACGTCGTCTGCGGTGTGAAATGAGATATGGTAAATCTCCAAGCAGTCGTCCCATTCATGAGTAATCCGTATCACATCTACACATAGGCGGCCACATAGAGTGTAGATAGTGGTTGGGCCGTCTCGCGCCGGGGATAGTAAGCCTGCATAGGTCCAAACAGAGGCCTGAACAGGCGGATTTCTCGTACCCCAGCGCAGAAAAACTTCCATGCCTGTGGCATAGACCTGGAGTGAAATGGTAGCTAGCTATGTACAGGTTGTGGGTGGGAGGGACAAAATTATGCCATGTCTCTGAAAGAGACGAAACCGAACATTGACGGGTGCATCACCTGTCTCCTACCCCTTGCAGGGACCCTGACAAGGGCCACATGTGACCCAATCATTCCCAGTGGCGACTCCGCCCGTCGCAATTTTCTCCGGAGAACGATGTGCATGTGCACGTATATCTCGATGCACTTAGTAGGGAAGATTTTCAAATTGAAAACTTGGAATTTAGGAGTCACCTTGCTTAGAAACAGCCCGGAACGTGCAGTCGGAGCTCTTTCTGACCACGTAAACAGGACGATGCTCCTTAGGAGTTTGTATCTTTTGACCTTGTTCGCCTGCACTCTCGCCACGGCTCCCCATCCCCTCCATGTCAGAGAAACCAACCCGGATCCTTCATCGCCCACGCCAACCGTCCTCGCCCCCCGCTTTCCACCCAACTGGATCTCAACCCAATCCACAGGCCAGCATGCCACAAGTGTCCGCTACGCCGTCACCTTCTGGAAAGCCACCGCCATCCTCCCCGTCGTGGCCGCCGCTCAGCCGATGGCGGACTTCTACCGAAAGGCCACCTTGGCCGCTGTTCAAGCAATCAGGGCCCAGTCGATCACGAACAGCTACACGTTTGGGCTCGGCGTGCTTAATCTCTACGTTGATACGTTGGATAGGAGTCCGATTGATATGGAGATGCTAATACAGTTCGTGGTGAATATGGTCGGCGTCACGAACAGGGGTTGGACGAATCATTATGCTGCGTTGGTGAAGGATCAAGTGACGGGGGCGCTGACGTTGATTAGTTTGGAGGCGGCGGGTGGGGTGGCGATGGCGTGGCTGGGGTCGGCGACGTCGGTGGAGCAGTATGGGAATGATCCGTTTGGTAGTTAGGTCTGAGTTTTCTGCAGGTTCCTGTTTGGTGGTTGAGAGGATATATAGTTGTGGCTGATACGAAAAGTCGCTACGTTTGTACCGTCCTTCACATCCAGGATACAGTCATGCTTGTTCTTCGGTCGCTTGTAGACCGAGAGTCGTCCTCGTTGAATGCGCCGTTTGCCGGAAGTCTCACACTCCGAGCAGAAGTCACAACATGCGCTGTGCTGCGATACCTGTATGCAATCTACTCGTACTCGTGGATTCCAGAAGTGAGTTACTTGATATAGCGAGGACACCAATAGATCAAGTGACATGCCGCTAAGTGGAAATATCTATTGGTGTCCTCGCTCTATCAAGTAACTCACTTGAGTATAATCCAGAAGTGAGTTCTTTGATAGAGTAAGGACACCAATAGATTAACCGATATTCGGCTAAGTGGAAGGATTCATTGGTGTCCTCGCTCTATCAAAGAACTCACTTCTGGATTGTACGAGTACTTGGACATGCAATCTCTAAAATCCGATATATCCGGGGGCGGGTTTTGGGGGCTCGGGATACCACCCTGAGATTTCACCCCGAGCCCGCGAAGTCAGCGAACTAGCCCAAAGAAGCCAAGCGAGACCCGTTAACCAAAAAGAGGTTAGAAAACTTGGCACGAGTTCACTAATCTCTTTTTCACTGCTTAGTCATTGCCTCATTGCACCTTCTGGTGGAAATGCCATCGAGACGAAGTTATTTCCTCGTACAGCATACCATTACTTCTAAAGGCACCATGCCATTCAGCAGAGCTGGTGTACCAGCCCGGTGAGCCTTTATCTTTCCCTTTCATCTATTACGACACGACCAGGAAGACGCATTCGGGAGCCTGCGACAAGGGCCCGGCTGTGTGCAGGCTCGGAAACCCTCCAGAGTGCAGGCATGGAAGCCTACTGTCGGAGCAGGCACGGAAGTCCTACGGGGTAGTAGGCAAGAAAGACTTACGAACATGTGGCAAGGAAGACCTACGAACATGTGGCAAGGAAGACCTACGAACATGTGGCAAGGAAGACCTACGAACATGTGGCAAGGAAGACCTACGAACATGTGGCAAGGAAGACCTACGAACATGTGGCAAGGAAGACCTACGAATATGTGGGCAAGGAAGTATTATAAGAAGTAGGTAAGGTGCAGCGAGTAGACGATTCCCGAGCGGAGGGAGCTTGAGCCGGGACTGGACCCAAGGTTGGCCTGTGTGGCCACTCAAGAGTATGGGAGTGTCTCCATGCAGTCGAATGTCCTACACAGAGACTGGACAAAAGGGCTCCTGGCATATAACCAGAGGGAGCACATGATTTTCGGGCCGAGGGAGTCTTTGGGAGGAAACACTCTGCAGTTCGGCCTACATGGTCATAGAAGACAGCAGGGATATCTCCTGCTTTGTTCTTGGAGTCAAGTGAGAAAATGAAGAGGGAGTGCTAATTTAGTCAGGCAACTGTCTCGCTTCATTTCGAATAATGAGTGGGGAATCATCTGAAAGCGCACCCCGGGACCCTCTAGATACGTAAGCTATTGCCACTGGACTCGGGTGGAAACAGTAGGTGGATCCCAGGCATCTCGTGTATATGAACAGGGGCATACCCGCTTGTACATTGTTTGCTTATGGTCTTCAACGATCTACGAAGTCGGCTGCCCGAGGTAATTGTCATATCACCCCAGAGTGTGTCGTCCTTTACTAACATTACCGTTACCATTACCATTCGAAATGTTCCGAGCATAACAGCAAGGACCCAAAGACACACATGCAAAAAAGGGATTAGACCAAAATTGTACGCTGCTGATAGTGTCTTTGATTCTCTATGCTAAATACCAATTTCTCTAGAGATAAGGTGGACAAGGTCCATCATCAAATAATCCAGTCGGAACGCTCCCTCTTCCAGTCCTTTACTCGCTGGTCTCTCGATGCCTCCAACTCCAGATCACCAAAGAGGAGATCTGGATACAGCGATGGCTGGTTGTTCAAGTGCTTGCCGGCAGGTCTCTCGTCCCAGCCAAATTGGCTGTGAGTCCCGGTTCCTTGCAAAACTTCGGTGACGACTCGACCGATGTAGGGGAGATCTTTGGCGTGCGTGTATGATCCTCCCCCAGCAATGATCAAGTTGGGATGCTCCGGGTGCCGGACGATGATAGGATTCTGGTTGCCAGTGACGCCATCCCTATAGTGATTAGCCGAGAAACGTGAGTCGTGAAAGACGTTTTTGCACACCAGTACGACTGTATCGACTTAAATCGGGCGCCTTTGAGCCCCGGAATTCTTTTTCGAACCCAATCACGGGCGTCTAACATCATCTTGATGGCCAGACTCGTCTTGGCGACATCGCTTGGCTCAGATAGGGCCCCATCCCCTGACGGATTTCTAAAAGCCGTGGTCCACGTCACCTTGGCCGCACCAACGTCTGTGGGATGGCATACGAACTCGCCTACTCATAAATTTAGCAAAGCGCATGTAGAGGCTCTGCGTAACCCACAAACGCCAACCTCGGAGAATCGCGGAAGGTTATGGTATTTGACCCATTGCTGAGTGGTCAGTCCCAGATGAAATGCAAAGATACCAGTTGCAATCGGCGCCCTCGAAAGCGGAGGTTGTTGAATGCTCGAAGCCTCGAGCAGTTGCATAATCCACGGTCCAGCGGCCAAGATGATGTCTGTCTGTGCTGCGTCAACAGAACCTTCCGAAGTCACCACAGCATCAATCATCCCTCCCGTGTTTGAGTCTAGATGTAGCACACGTCCCTCTTGAAATTTTCCTCCCGTGTTCATGCATTCTTGTTTCAAGCCTTTCATCACTCGATTCCAATCCACGACCCCGTCATCTTCGTTATGGACCACTTCGAGCTGTTGTGAGATGGGTGTTGACTCGAATATGTCTTCTAGAAGCCTGGCCGATTCATGCTTCCGTGCAGGTAGGCTCAAACCAGACCTGGCGCGGTCAATACCAGTCAGAGTGTCAACACGCGCCGGTGGATAAGCAACGATCCGGCCTGTGCGATGAAGGAATGGTTTGAACAAGTCGTCGTTCTCCCATAGATTCTTGGATTTCAATACAAGCTTCATCCGCTCTGGATCCGTGTAGTCAACCCGAAAAATTTTAGAAATGTCGCGGCTCGGCGCCAAAGGATCCGGGTGATCAAGCACAGTGACGTCGGTATGTCCGTCTTTGAGAAGATGCCATGCTGTTGAAAGGCCCATCACTCCGCCACCGATGATGAGGCACTTTCGTGCGCCCGTGCGCTTCTCAGTGTGTACCAGAACAGACATCTTGAGATCGCACAGAAAGTGTTGAGAAGAGGATTGTCTTGGCCATTTATGAGTGCAAAGACTCAAGATTGCCACGTCAATGTTCGCGCGCTTACTCGCGATTTGCAGTGATCGACGAGATCACCTGCCAGCCTGCACTAAACGTCTTCTCTAACCAAAGACAACATATGCTGTAAGAGAAGTCATATGATGTCGTCGATCATGGCAATCGCGAGTACTGAAGATGCTCGTGGCAGAGAAAGATTGTCGTTGCTTGGATTGGCACGTCAGTGGCCGCTGGCTAGAGTTCTCTGCGAAAAAGAAAGACTCTCGGGTCGGAGATCAAGACTACTACTCCGTTGGTCAGCCGGAGCAAGCAAATGTGGCTGCACAGATGGCTGTTTGCTCCTGCGGTACATCTTTTCTGTCAATTCCACTCGCTACATTTTTAAATCCTTCCAGGATCTTATTCTTCCACTAGAATGAGGCAATGAGCCTGGAACGATGAGCCGAAGAACGGAATTGGCAATATTATTGACCAGGATCTTGGGAATGCAGGGCTCTGTTGGCCCCTCTCTTTGGTAAACCTTTGAATGGTTGGATGCATTGATTGGTGGGATCATCTTCGGCTGGGCAGAAATGACCCTTATGTACGTACCCTTCGGCCTTTTACCAATGGAGGTGCCCCTCGAAATCTACCAATGAACCGATAACGAATTTGAATTTGCATTCGAGACAATAGCTCCAAGCACTTCCGATCCGCACGCAAATGCGGGCTCTGTACCGACCGTTATCCCCGCCCAAGGTAAACATACGACGACTTTCACAGCTGACTTCGGGCACGCAAATGATGCAGCGGCGACTCAGGCCGCCGAGAGCTCCCACCTTGGGCAATCATCAGACTTTCAACGTTGCTTGATTAAGCATGGCCTGTGTCGACCGCCCAAGGACCTCACACCCAATGAGCAAGTACATTACTGTGAGTAGACCCCGCTGTTCAACTTGATGACGGACGCTAACCCCATATATGTCAATGCTTTCCTACCTGGACGGACCCCAGTCGCCAAGCACGTGCTGAGCGATCTGCTGCGTCAACATGATACCCCAACCCAGCGGTTCATGATTCCTGCCCTGATGAATTTGTATTTGGAGCAAAGAAAAGAGAAAATGATAGAGCCTTCGGACAGAAGAAGGGCTGACGAGGTGGTCATCTACCAACAAATGATGATATGGCAATCAGATCCTCCTACAAATCGTCTTGATGCTCTTCACTTCACGATCCTTGCAAATCAGTACATCGTAAGTCTTCGAATGTGTTGCCCTCTGCAATAACTGATGAGTCTGCTCCCAGATTATTAGACCAAGACTGAGGCTGCGGTGGACGAATCATATAATTCCTCTGCTTCTCTCATACAGGGTCCAGAAGAGTCTGCAGCAGCATGGGAACCTTGGCCTCCGCCTCAAAGCCAACTCACATTGGATTTTCTCCAACATTGCCTATCGACTCAGACCCGGCCAACCAAACAGGTTTCTGTGGGGAGATGAACAAACCAGCGATGAAATCGACCCTCTTGTAGGCCTTTCTCCAAAGCTTCTGGACATCTACGCTGCGGTTACCTGGGAGTTGCAAGTGATACAGCCGGTATCGATTCAGAGGAAAGGCTTGCTTGAAAGACTTACTGGAATGAGACAGCACATGTCGCACCTCATGCCCTTGTCCGGCCGGAAGATTCAGATTCTTGCAGATGGAGCAAGCGCCTACTTGCATGCAGCTTATGTATACGTCCTATGCCGCTACCATAGGAAAGTCCTCCCAACTATCCTGGACAGATAGAAGACTATACTGATTGTGACCTCAGGCTACCCGTATCTGACCCGCTGGTTCAGGAGCATCGGAACGAGCTTCTTCGACTCCTGACTCCGGAGAGACTACCTCTTTCTGGTGCATTCTTCTGGGCCGTATGGCCCTTGGTTCCCGCTTTCATTCTCTGTGTCACTTGTTCAGACCAGGAAGAAAGACACAGCTGGCCAGAATCCTGCCTCGAGCTAAGCGCTGGCCGCGTTGACCCTGAGTTCCTTCATGGAGCATATCCACCAAATAATTTCTGCACCTGGCTGTCTACTGTCGACAATTTCCTAAGATAGTCGTTTGGTTGGTCTACTTATTCCTGCCTTGCTCTCGCGTCCCGTGGAAACTCGATACAGGGAGGATGCCTTCTTGAAGATCGAAGAGCTACTAACCCTAGTCCTAAGTGTACAGAGAAGCTTTTCGAATTCTCCAAATTCAAACAAGAGAGAGCTCTAATTTCCTTATTTTGCACATATCTTTGTTGGTATCGACCAGAACAGATCCACTCTTTCTGTCATAGAATGCCGTATCAAAAGCATGGAACACGTAAAATATTATTCACTTGCAGGCAGAATGACGATTGTTTGATGAAAGATTGTGACAGATTATCGCTCTTTTCTAACAAACCATTGGACTACAATAACTTCATTCAGAATTTTGCCCTCTCTACACCACTCTTGCTACGTTCTCTTACTTGTACCCGGGTCTAGCAGCTAGCCGAGAACTAGGTACTTCGATATCCCAGCTATATGGTCATAGAGAGAGCGAGTCTACCGAAACCTTTGAACAACTAATGGGCATTGTTCATGAGAAATAGCTTTATTCATATTGCTTCAAGTCGGTCGCGTTAGCAAACTCGTCGGCGCATTCACGAAAACGACATTGTTCAGAAGCCTAGGAATTAAGGAGAATCAGAGCGATGCACAGCATTGGCTTTCGTCATCCGATCTCGGGCTGCACTACCTACGCAAGATGATTATCTTTGTCTGAAAGTCGGAATCGTGGCCGCCGTTCTACAAGCTCCTCCGACAACGCAAAGCAAAATTACGGGTTACTAAGTAAGACCTGCCGGCGCAGGCTGATTAATACCAGACTTTCACCCCCTCATCTTGTACCTCGGTCCCTAGAGGAAGACTTGGGGTATGCAAGCCATTAATAATGGCAATCGTTACATCGGCACTGCTTCTCCCGATGGTCGACGCCGGAGCTTACTCAACTAGTCCAGCAGTATTATATCATGTGCCCGGTCTAGATCTATCAAGGTCCTAATTGGGCACTCGAAGCGAGGACTGGTGGCAACTGTATACAGACGAACAATTATAGCCGGCGGGACAAGCAATCTGTAGATAAGGTCATGCTCATATGATTTTGAGGACGACTCGCTTGTCAGACTTCCACGGCGACAATCGAGGAAACCACGCTACTTTATCAGTCCCAAGCCTGCGATTGCAAAGATCTTCCACCCAGCACTCACCGACCTGCACCTTGCATTGAGTTCCCAGAGTATTGTTATCGTGTAACGAAGACCTCTGGGGGTTGACGCTGGTCGATGAGTTAGCTCAGTCCAGCGTGACATGGACATCGTCTTCTGATTCACTATCACGTCAGCTCAAGGAAGGAAGTCTCGACTAGTCAATGCAACTGTCTAAGAGCAGCTTTCAATATGCGTTGAACGTCTAGATGTAGACGCGGCCTGGGAACTGAGTGAAATAAGAGAGGGGTGCAACTACTCCCGGTCCACCAAGCAATTTCCTACCGATCCGCGCTGTTATCATTCCCAAAAAAGGATAATCTTTCGGCACCTCGTCGTGAACAGGACATTTGACTATACTTCTGTGACTTGTCATTATCTGGCATAGCAACGGGAACGCGATCATCATTACCCCTCGAGAAGTTTGCACGGGCTTCCGATCCCTAGTATTCTGGGCCGCCTTCCCTCTGGGTAGCCTGCTCATCGAAAAGGACAGGGTCGTGGCGGGTCCGGCGACTTTGAGCTTCGCTGTTATGGAGCGCGGAACCATTCGGATGCTAGTGCAAACGAATCAGCGCGTGTGGAAGGAGGATCTGAGGCAGTGCTGTGGTGGCAGTCTTTTCTAAAGGATTCGGGAAACCAGATCTAAAGGGAAAGCCTGGCAGCAGGGGTACGGGTGGAGAGATTTTGTGAGGGTGTTGTGGGAACATGGAAGCTGGAGGGAGTGGGAAGAGCAATGAGGTTCGAATTCTATTAGTCATACGATGCATCCATCGCCTTGGTTATGATTGCTTACGCTAGCTCTTCGAGAACCGCTCTAAGCAAGCAGTATCTGCACTATACGACTATATGCACGGTCAGCATTTTTGAATACGAATCGGATACTTGACTTATGCCTTCACGCCTGCTTCATCAGCAGGATACTGTGCCAAGTGAGGGGGTACGGGTCGAGAGACTCCGTCAGAAGCGTAGGAAATATATAAATTGGAGGAAATGGGGAACGCTTTGACTTTCGCGTACCATTAGTCATGCTGTGCATTGTCTCGAATCCATGCAATTACTGTTGAAAGCTCTAGGAACTGCGAAATGTGTAAGCAAAAATTGCAACACGCGACTTCATACATGATCAGCGACCTCGGTTGCGAAATGAATACTAATCACTGGACTCTGCACCCTGCTTCATCAGTCGGATGCATTATCAAATGGAGACCCTCAGACCTTGCGTCTGCGCTTTCTCAAACGTATATATACTCCCATCTCGAGTCGTGCAACTACACTCATACTCCTTATCCAGAGATCTTGCCTCATTTCACAACATCCCTCGAGAAAAATCCCAAGAATGGCAAACACCGACTCCAAAATTCAGGGTCTCCTAGAGATCAATCGCAAGTTCGCAGAGACGTGGAAAATGCCTGCCACGATGGAGCAGATGCGCGCCATGGCCCAGTCCGGCGGAGGACTCATCATTTGTTTGTTCCCAATCCTGCCCTCACCCTCAGATACATTTCACTGGAAGTCCTCATGCTGATCACGACCCTTGCCAGTGACTTGTCTTGACCCGCGTTGCGTCCCAGAGCAGTTCTTCGGCCCCGATTCACGCGCCGCCGTCATTCGGAATGCAGGCGGTCGCGCCAGCAAAGATGTCATAACCAGTATCACCGTGCTGCGATCGTTGGCGAATGCGGCAGCGGTGCTCGTCATTCACCACACCGGTGAGCGCACACTCCTTCCTGCTGCTGCTTGGAACTCGAGGTGTGAAAGGTGCTGGTCACGCATGCTAACCTTTAGACCAGATTGTGGCATGACTCATCTCACTGACGATGGAATCCGCAAAGACGCGAAGGCGAGAACACCCGATGCGGCAGATGAGGTTGATGCGACGAAGTCGTATGGGTGTATTGATGCGGCTGATTTCGAGGAGACCATCAAGGTTGATGTTGAGGCGCTGAGGAGTTCGAAGGTTTTGGCTGGGGTGGAGATTAGAGGGTTGGCGTTGGATACGGAGACGGGGCTTGTGAGGGAGCTGGAGGTTTGATGTGGTGGTTGGGGAGCTGGGAGTGTGAGTCTCTTATCTCTCTCTTTGGGCGATATGTGCTACCTCATAGTCGGAAAGAAGTCTTAGTTTCAATCGACATAAGTTGGTCTAACACTGCTCAGCTGGTCTGGTGGGACTGTTAAGCTGACTGTTTTGATTATATGTTATGGCTCATCCTTGACTTTACGAGAGCCTTTTTAAGAACGTGCTTCCTTATGTTTGGACCGTGTATCTATGAAGCAGCCAGGTAGAGAGCCCCACGGTTTGGTAAGCTACCCATGTTGTCACCGCACCTTAACCCATACCTCCGTCGACCGGGCTCATTGCACCTCGGCACTGTCGCTGGCGGAGATTTCTCGGTGTAATAATGAAATTTTGCATGCTTGTTGCAATTAATCTGCTCTGCTATATTCATGGGTCAGCTTACTCGTGAATCAAACATCGATCAACCCTGAATGCCCCAACGGCCTTTTAGACACATTGGTCCAATCATAAAATCTCCTCGAACATTGTCGCCTGTGCCTTTGCGATTAAGCCAGTGCTGTAGTATGTGACTTCCATCATATCCACCTTCGTCCGTCTTTTTCGAAGTTACGCCGACTATTCCGCTATATCTCGCAAAGCCTTACTGCCTAGTGTCTTGCAATAGCCCCTCGTCTTTTAAACACATAAAATGGAAATGTACTTTACCTCAGTCAAAATCAGCCAAGTTCGTGGTCACACTACAGCAGTGCGTCTACGAAATCTCAACGCCGCATGCTGGTAAGCCTTTTCCCCGTAGGGTCTGCAAGAAGACTCCCGCAAGCTGCGTAGGAGAAGAAACTGGTAGTCAAATTAATATGGTTGGGTTAAGATTCTCTCTTTCAATTCTCACCATCGATGCCTCAGACGGCTGGGCTCTTGGAGAAAAATTGTCTTATCGTCTCCTTCGAGCTGAAGATACGTCGCCACAGTGGAATTGAGGGTTAGTGGGTCTCATTATGTTGCCCCTGTTTCAGGTCCTTGTCAGGTGCCCTGTCAAGGGGAGGAGATAGGTATCCACCATGAGCTACATAACCACCTACTCTGCACCTGTCAATGGCTCTTCATTCGAATGTTCCTTTTTCAAAGCCATTGCACCCTTTTGTCCCACCCGTACAGGCCTGTATATACTTATCCCAACCCAGGCTTATGCTATAGGCATGGGATTTTTCTTGCGCCGGGGTTCGAGAACATGCCTGTTCAGACCTCCATTCAGGCCTATCCGGGCATGTCATCCCCCGCGTGAGACTGGCCAATCACTAATGTACATCATATATGGACCCTATCTGTGCTTGTGATGGGTGTTGTTCATGAATGGCACACGCCAATCAGGGATGTTGAACTGCATGCGAAACCCGTGAAAAGTGGGGGCTCGTTCTTTGGATCACCAAACCCGTCTGGTTCTACAATACATCGAGTGCGCTCTGGAAAGGGCATTCTAAGTTACTCTCGAATGTGGTTTCCTCGGTCAAAGAGGGCACGGCCTACTTTACTCTAAGAGCGATTACACTGGGTGGGCATCTCGGGTCTACGGACTGTAGCCTTAGTGATGTTCTCATGTAGTGGGACAGGATCCCCTAACCTCTTCCATAGAATAGTATCAGCAACTCCAAATCCTATCGAGTGCGCATTGAGGGACAATGCGCGCAAAACTGGCCGTTGTACTGTTGTATTCCGTCAACGGCTCTTTAAGCATGGTAGCCTCCGCCCCACCAAGGCAGAGGGCCTGGTTGGGACGATGTGCCCGAGTAAAGCATAGATAGATTGATGATGCGATTTAAACTTTACTGAGGTCACCGTGCGAATCATTTCAGAGAAGATCATGATTATACTTCAGTATGCGTAGACAGGTTCCTGTGAAGGACACGCTATGGATTACACGAGCGAGTGTCCTAGAATTCAAACCCGTTCTTACCCTCACAAAACAGCTCTCTTTCCCTGTCCGTTGCGGCCCAGGGTTTCAGGGCAGATTCATAAAGACAGGCAACATCTTGCCATAATTCGGAGTACCTAGTCCCGTTACCGGGTCCCAGCCAGAGACGGCAGTAAAGCCAGCAGTCCCACACCCTTGGTTTCCACCAGAGGTGATGTCGTTGAGGATGGTGGGGTTCGCGTACAGCGTAGGATTGATGAAGCCGACTGCTGCTTTTCCAGCGTTGACACGTTGCTCGTTGATGAGGGTGATGACGCTGCCGAAAGTCGGCGACGAGGCAGAGGTGCCGTAGACCAAGCTGATACTGCCGTCAACGGCGACGGCATAGTTGGCGCCGTTGGCGGCTACGTCGGGGTAGCCGCGCACGGTTTGGGAGTTGTTGTATTGAGTCGCCGTGTAGCTGGGCTTGTGGTTCGCGAAGTAGGATTTGACAGCTGAAGATTGGTAGGATGGCATGGCGAAGACGTTGCTGAATCCACCGCCGGAATAGATGACGGTCTCGCAGGCTTCTTCGGGTGCGGTGACGCTGGCGCCAGAAACAATTTGCGTCGCGCCAACGGAGGTTACGTATGGGCTGCGTGAGTTAGCCTGCAAAGTGTACGGAGCAAGAAGAAGTGACTCGGTGCTGTACATACCAGGTTCCCGGAAAGGATGGGTTGAAAGTGCCCGACTTGCCCGTGTTGTAGGTCCCGCCGGCACACTTGGCCTTGGTGCAGCATTCGGCGCCATTTCCGGCAACGCCGTTGTCACCAGACGAGTACAAAATGGTGACTCCTTGCATGCCGAGCTTCATATACCTGGAGCGTAGGATTGTCAATTATGACGCGTCCTTGACTGCGGTTAGAGAATTGACTCACTCATTGCATTGGCGTACTTCATATGCGGCTGTCAAGTCTGCTTCATTGGAGCCATACGATGTGGATATGACAGATGCAGCGGTGTACTTGCCACAATCTTGGCTCTTATAGCCCCCAGAATTGGGGTCAGGGTAAGTTGCATCGCTAGTATCTATTTAGATGGCGATAAAGAATGCCACAGAGAGGTATACATACTATGTTGGATTATCTCCACCACCAGACGTACAGTAGGAAGAATCGATTCCGTCTAGGAAATTATTGAACGAAGCGCCTTCGACAAGGTCGCCAGTTTGATACAATGTCACCTTCTGAGGATACACTGCGAGAGGTCAGTATGTGGAGGGAAAAAGGGTCCAAAATCATAGTGTGTTGGACATACCGAGGGCGATAGCATACTGCAAGTCAAGATCAGACTCTCCGTTATCATCAAAGCTCTGGGTGCTAGTCTGGTCAACCCCGCCATCAATCGAATCGAGCGTCGGAGCAGTGCCAGAGGGAATCTGTCGCGCCAGATTGCTATAGAAAAGGTTGAGGTCCGACTGCAGATATGCCTGAGGGGTGTACTCGACAATGCCGTAGGACGACTTGGCAAGGGTCCCATTGGTAAAATTGTAAAGTGCGCGTAGACAATCTGGGGTGATTTGTGTGTCGCATGTTGAGAGGGCAAACGGCTGGGGGGCAACATCGGGATCTGCGCCTGGCCCAATGATTGTCGGGCCCTTCTTGGGTAGGAAGCCATTGTTGTCTGAATTGCCGGGCTGAAAAGACTGTCCGTCACGCTTTTCTTTGCGTTGCTCTGGATCTCCAACAATCTTTGTGTCGAAGTGGACGGTTGGCATGATAAGATCAATATGCTCCGAAAGATCTTGCGGAACGCTGTATTCCTCGCAAGCAATGTGTTTCTGTCCGGTAGAGTGTTCGTACACCTTGTACTCGGTCTTCAGTAGAGCTTCTACTTCGGTGATGCTGGCGTTGACATTGAGCCAATTTCTCCCACGAGACAAAGATATACGAGACGACTCGATGCCAGATGATACAAGCCAACTGCGCACGGCATCGATGGACTCTGGCGCAGGCGCAAACAGTTCTATGATCTACTCCAAGATTAGTTCGGCAGTACGCGCTAGGCTAGGGTACCTCATTACCTCTTCCGCGGTCAAGTGCTTCCCATATTTCTTACTGGCCGGGTCGGACACCTCCATCAAAATCTCATCACCCCGGTGCAGATTGCTTTCGGTGAGGCCAATGCGGACAGGAAGTGTGATGCGTCCATCGGGCTTAGCGTCTTGCATTGGTGACCAACTGGAAGATCCGCTGCGCTTCTCATGTACCACATGGCTGGGGGATGTTGGAAGAGCGGTGGCTACTGCGGCAAATGCAGCAGCAGCCGCGGTGGCAAGGATTGGCAGAAGCATTTGGAGATGCCTGTGGAGATTCTCGATGTATTTGAGGTTGTATCCGCGGGGTCCGCATCTCTTATATGCCAGCTGGTCATGTAGTCCGCCACCCCAGTCCAGATGTGTCCGAGCTGGTTGCACATGGTGTACATGTTAGGTGTTGACGTATCCCATGCTGCCACACGGATCTGCGTTTGACCCTTCTTCGGCCAAGGAGTGCCGGGCACGAGACGAAAAGGGCAGGAGATCTTCCGGACATGGTACCATCTTTATAAAACCGCGGCTTCCATATTCAGAGCGGAGTTATTTCGCCAGAAGGCCTTTGCGAGCAGAGCGTTTGGAGTAAGAGGTGGGGTAGACCACTCGAAAGGTTGCACCGCTGACGCAGAAGACGGCATTCAATGCGTGAAAGGGGGACGTGTCAAGAGATATAGGGTGGCTTGGCGAACAAAACAAGACGTCACCCTGTATTGAATTACTTTTGCTTCAACTTGACGAATGATGTCCTTCCTCAGTACCAAACCTTAATCAACTTATTCTTAGCGCAATAGTGAACATGCAATCACCCGCGATAAGACGAGCATACCAATAACTGATTAAGGCATAGAAGAGAATCCTACGACTGTTAAGCCAGCAACAGAGAACAGATACTTGGCAAGGCTCATATGTCCCCATATCGCGACACCCAGTTCTTTTTGGTTTCTTCTGACCTGGCACACGCGCCAGAGTCGGTCATGTCCCATGAGCCTCATTGATTCGTTGCCACCACTGAATTGCCTTTCCAGCAAGCTGCAGGGGCATTGGAATAGTTCGGGCTTTAGGGTTTATTTACACAATGCCACCAATCCCGAAGATAAGGATGGCGGTACAAGCAGATCATTACCTTTTAAGAGTAGGCTTCCTTGCAGCATATGCATGCGACACTGTCTAAATTAAGCAGGAGGGTCAGTCTTCACGATAACGTGGGAGGGTACATTTGAGATGCAGGATGAATGCAGGTTGGACAGAAGGAGTTCTACAAGAAATCAACAGATAGGCGCTCTGTGCTATCAGGAGACGACCGGACCGCCCCGAGCGGCGAGAAAAAGAAGAAAGCGGGGGAGAGTAGCAGAAAGGGGAAGCTGCTCTTGTACAGATCCGCTGTTGGCGTTGGTGTTAGTGTTGGTGTTGGTGTTGGTGTTGAAGGAATTCCGGAGCTTATTTGGTGAAAGATGAGGCAGGAGGTAAACTTAGATATCTTTGCCTTATCTCTCCAATAAAATATCCTGTACATGTACGCTCGGAAATCATCAAATTTTAAGGTAAGGTACCTAAGCTCGCTAAGGTGGTGTGGTAGGGAAGAACCCGGTGGCCAAGCCAGCCTAGAGTCTTGGCACGCGACAGTCCATAAGGTACCTAGTCGACCCTTGGCCGTTAGTGGATAGCGTGTCCGATGGTGTCTGGGGGGGTAGGGGAGGCCCGGATAGGGCACCCGGGGAACCTGGGGCAAAACTGAGCTGGCCCCGGGGTCGGGATGTATTCCCCTTTTTGACCTGACCCCAATCTTTGTCATATCTCTCTCTTTTATTCTTTTTCTTGTCCAGACTCTCAAAGGATGCCACCAATTCAATACTTAGCGCAGATATGGGTATTGCCATGGTCATGCCCTAAGAAACCTTGCCTATTTACTGCCCAGCCGGCCAGAACTTTTGGCCGACATCCACAGCTGGACATCAAATGATCGCGCACACCACACTTGTGTTCAAACTTGCCCAGCTCGATGATTACTACCGACGCTATAGGCTTCTCGGTCTGATCACGCATGCTAAAGATGAAGGTGCTCCGTACCTACAGAGTAATGGCACGTGTGCTGCGCCCTCGAGTTCTCGCCTATTGCGTCTATGATCAGGGGCTTCGCATTTCTCGCCAACACAATGCCATAGTCTTTGAGTAGGCTTTTTGACCTTAACGTTGATGCAGTTTTCAGAGTGGTCAACTTGCCACGACCCACAGCATGAGCAGCAATGGACACTCCCAAGGTTGTGAACTTCTTTATCACTCAAAGCAGGTGGTGGCAGGCAACCAAACAACGGCCATTGATCCTCGCGACTCAAACCGAACCCACGACAAACCCATGTCAGCCTGAGCTTCCTGAACAGACTTTGCCCTGTGAGAGGAGTCGAGGATAACGCTGGGCAGTGCCTCGAGGCTTTTGCATTAATGCTCACATTTCGAAGCATACAAACGAGAGTATCATTTGCCGCGTACGGCCAAGCTCCGGAAACCCCAACAGATGACAACCTGTCAGGAGTGCGAGGAGGGTACCACCCTTTAGCTATGCCATCAACAATGATCACGCCATGGTCATCATCTCCGTTTTTGAATCACTACTGTGCCGCATTCCCAGCCTGCTGCCACCTCGTCTCGAGAAGATCAGCTATTTGGCCCCGGAACCGATGTCAGATCTGAGATGATGGAAGATGTTTGAGTGGCGAGAGCGGCTCGGTGCATTTCAGCTTTGGGGGCGCTTTTTGCCCCGATTGGTCACCTCGAAGCGAGACAGTAAAACAGCCACACCTTATTTTCGTTTGTCAAGCCACGTCGAACACCCTATTCGGACAGCGGCATTGTCGCACATCCATTTTCAAGCTCTCAGCATGCAACTTAGCCTGATAGGAAATGGCCCTGCATCTCCAGCTTGTGTTTCACGTTCTGGCCCTTACAGACTACTGCAGGTAGCTTAGTCAGATCTCACCTACTCTGGTCTACTGATGTAGAGACCACGAAGCGCTGTGAGTCCATCTGCGATCTTGTCTTCATTTCTTCGAGTCTTTGGCCATTCGAAATTGTCACCCTGCTGTAAATCGACTGCTCCACTCGAAAGAACCTGGCCTGCAACCCCAGTCTCTCTTTTGGCCTTGGATTGGAAGCTTCTCATGACGTGTCTCTGATTTGGTGACCATATCGTTGCTGAGCCCTGCACTTGCATTAACCCTAAGCTAAGCTACCGCGTTACTTCCGCAGGTTACATTCGGCCTTGAGGCAATGCTGAGATACCTGAGTCTTATATGATTATCAATGCCGTCATACGTCCTTTGACGATGCACCTCATCTCAAGGTGATATCCGTCTATAGCTTTCGTGCCTCGCGTAACGTCGTTCCGTATCATCGTTGGGGTCCGCCGCTACGCCTCCGCCATTGTCCATATCCTGCATTTCCTCGCGCCTCCGCCTCAAGTCAATAGTCTATAAAAGGAGTTGGCTATATGAAACATCATCTTCACTTCGATCTTAATGTCGAAACTGAGGGCCATCGAGGCCTTTCGGAGTTTGAAAACATACAATGGACACGATCTACATATCTGCGCCCTTCGCCGTTAGAGAAACCTACTAAAGGCTGGCTTAGTGATACGAATAGACGTGCAAACCACCATTATACCTTCTTCCTTCGCGGCAACATCTCTTACAGCAATTTCGTATACTGACACAATGGGTGGCTCTGCCTCAGTCTATTTTAGCAATTTGGGGCCTGGCGGTTTCATGAATGACCTCGCCTTGTTCTTTCAGATGATCAAGATGTTGGATGAGCATCCGTCATCCTAATAATAGTGGGGCCTTCATTGGAGCGAATATCTATAAAGGCAGACTTGTCTTCCTCGAGAGTATCTGCACAACAAACAAAGTCCGACGATCAACTGCACTATCTACAACTTATCACTCCACTCTTACCTAATTTGAAATTCCACCCCACACAGCGTTCATTCATCACAAGTACCATCATGCGTACCTCCTCACTTTTGATGCAGGGTATCACCTGCCTCTCTACCCTCCTCGGCAGTAGCTATGCCCTGGGGATCAACTGTCGCGGCTCTGGTCTTTGCGATCGCGCTACTATGAGTAGCTCATCTGGCAAGATTGTGCAGATCCTGCGTGACGCTGTCTGGGCTGCATCGGAGAGCAACTCAACCACATACGGCGACGGCTCACACAGTTCGTATTCCTCTATAGCACTTTCACTAGCACAAACCCCTGTTTCGCGAGAGAAACGCTGACACTGGAACCTGCATAGTCATTTGTATCAGTCAGACAGACACGGTCACAATTTCTGCGTCCGCTGGTGGTGACTATGATGGTGTTACCGGATCATTTAGTCTTAGTGGCGACCTCAGCGTTGGCGCTGGCGGCATATGTAAGTACTACCCAGATGCCGCGCGCCATAACCTAACTTCTGCTCTGCACATCTCCACGAAACATATCTTTCAGCCCAACGACCCTTTCCAGGTAAAATTGCTTGCTGACTCGAGAAACGCATCAGGCCTCTTCCCCCAAGGCGCATCCCTCAGCCTGGAACAGATCAGACCTCTCACCGACGCCATTCTAGAACACGGCTGCAGCACCTGCGGCAGCGTGCCGATTCATTTCGTAGATCAAGGCAGCAACGACCCGTCGGACGGCATCCTGACTTTCAACTATGTGGAGAATCCTTTTTGCGATCAGCAATGCATCTCGGACACAGGCGCTTCCTCAGGAAATCCCACTGCCAGCAAAGTGAGACGGTCTGCCAAGTTTGGGCCAGGAGGCGCTGTTCTGAGAGGGATTGATGGAGAGTAAGGCTCGCCATGGTGAATGGATGTCAAGGCGGAGAGCGGGTTAAAGTGACTTTGAGTTCTGATTTAGAGTGCAGCGTTGTTGGGAGATGTCCATGTACTCGTACTAGTACTCGTAAGTCGAACCGGCCTGATTACGTGCAGCAGTCTCTATTTTGTACTACGCGAGGGTTTTCCACGCAGATGAAAGTTGACGCTCAGTTTGTTTTCATCCGTTGCGTTGCTCCAATATCAAATCGCAAGCCGACTTTCTACCTCGGTTTCTTTACCGGTCTCAACACTGCAACGAGACCAGCTTCTGCCAACTTTC